TTTAGGATGGCAGCAGAGAATTCTCTCCTGCCTTCACTTTGAGTCTTTTTTTCTTTTTTTTTTAATCTCCTTTCTGATCATCTAATGATACGCCGTAGCACTCCATTATTTCACAATTTGACCTCTTGAAAGAAAGAAAAAAAATTTTTTTTCAATTGTTTCATTCATTTTTAGTTAAAAACCCATGTAACTGGCAGATGAAGAGGGAAGTAGGTTAGCCTAATTGCCACCATAAGATGTGGGGAACTGGGGAACTTTTAGTGCCCCCCCATCCCCATACTGCTGTCCCTCCCCTCAATAGGGAGCTATGCTGGTCCTAATAATAATGCTTCAGCTCTGTATTAGCCTTCCAGAGCCTCAGTTATAGCCACACTCTCCGGGCTGTAATAATTCCTTCTTTCTGTTATTATAGATCTCTTAACATTCTAGTAAATTCTCTGTCTCGGTTGCACTCTTTTGGCACAATAACCTTTCACGTTGTATTTCTCTAGCTTGGCAGTGATCTCTGCATTGCTGTCTCAATAGCCTCTTCTTAAGCTTCCCTAATAACCTTTCCTTGACTATTGTGGATCCTCAGGGATGTAACAGCTGTTTCTGTGCTTTTATTTTACATACCAAAGAAGATGCCTTCCCTTGGCAGTTGCATCTCTCTAGGGATACAGGGAGCTTTCTTATCTTGCAGGCAAGCAGCCCAAAGGGACCTTTCTCATTAAGGGCTACAGTGTACGGATGGCCCCCCATCTGCGAAGAGATTCCAAGAAAGAATCCTGCTTTGAACTGACCTCACAGGATAGGCGCAGCTATGAGGTAGGATGAACTGAAGCCATGGTGGTCCTTATTAGTGCTGCATGTGAGCCGTGGTGTTATGCTGAGCTCCATCCTTTCTTAGTGTCCTCCTCATTTCTTACCAATGAAGACCCTCTTGTTTGACATGTCTTCACCTTTACTATCACATGCCTTCTGCTCCTCTCTGTTGCCACTCTCATTCTGGATACTAGCTTTGCTTGGCTTCTATCTCCTCCTCCCTACCCTTCTCAGTCTCACCCCGTAGGTGAGATTCTTGTCCCCGGTACCGCACACAATTCCTTATTCAGCATCTCTAATTTCATGACTTTAATTCCCATTCTCTACTTTTCACTTGATTTTCACTTCCTTCCATGAAATCTAGAAAAAGAAAATTCTTAACTATAGAGTACAAAATAATTAATTTTCCCATATTCATCTTGTTACCCAAAAATAACCTTCCTGTATCTGTTTATGTGTAGATGCATTGCATATCTCTGGAAGGATTTCTAAGACATTGATGACAATGGTTACTAATAGTAACAGTGGTAACTGAGGGACTAGAGGGAGGGGAAAGAAGGAGAAAGACTTATTCAGCATTATACAGTTTGAATGTTTACCTCATACATTTATTACCTATTTTTAAATTAATTAAAAGGATAGTAATTATAGTGACTTTCTTTTCTTTTACGTATGTACAAAGGGGCTTCATAAAGTTCATGGAAAAATGGAATTAAGAGATAATGGAATTTTTAAACAAACTTTTTGAAGCCCTCCTATATATGTATGCTTGTATAGTCTTTATTGTTGGTAATTTTTATCTTATTACGATTTTGTGAAGTCAGTTTAGAAAATATTTAGCTAACTATGAACACCACACTAAGAATAATTCATATTAATTACCCACGTAACCCTTATGACTCCAAACTCTTCTTAACATTCATCCTTTCATGTTTTCATAGTATTTTAACCCTTATTTTGATAAGAATAACATAGGTCTTCATTAAGCAATTTCAAAAATTTTTAAACTTTTCTAGAGTTGTTATGTATGTGGATGTATGTAAGCTAGATGTTTGCATAGGGCATGTTAAGTTATTTTTGTTATTAAATTCTCACAGTATTTCGTCCAAATAAAAGTTTATGTGACAAGTCTAAACTAAATTTCCTAGAATTTTTTATAGAAATGCATTTTTTAAATTAAAAATGACAGTGTATAGTATTGATAAGTATTTAGCAGGAAGCTGTTTCTATACAACATCTATCTTTATTTTACCCTGGTGAACAGCTGATAAAAAATGTTTTTTAATAACTGTTTCAAGTTGATTCTTTTAAAATAAAGGTTGATGCTTGAAAAGCCTGTTTTGTGAATCAAAATGTAGAGTTTGTTTACTTCTTATTTTCTTTGGCCCATTGAATCCAAATCATTCCCATGGTCTGTAGATTCTTCCCCTGTAAAATCCTTTGGATCTTTCTCTTCTTATTTATTCCCACAGCCATCACAATAGTTAAGTCCCTATCACTTCACCCAGAGGACTAGTTAAACAGGCTGCTAGTCAATCTTCTATCTCCAGTTTCTTCCTGTTCCAATCTCCTCAACCTATGATGTTGAAACAATCCCCAACTCCTTTGAGGAGAATTTACAGTGGTTTCCTATTGCCTACATTTTAATTCTGAACTCTTAGTACTCTGTACCTTTCTTTCAACTCTTCTCTGACCCTTAACTCTCCAGCTTCATCTGTTATTATTCTGTAGCCAAGCAGACTTCCTACCTTCCCCAGACATTTTTTCATTCCTATTTCCTCCCACATGATGCTCCCGACCTGAAATGTCCAACTCCGTGCACCAGTCAGCCACTTGTTCTTTTCAAATCTAACCAAAACAGTATTACTTCAACTTCCCTGACCTGATCTAGGCAACAGTAAGTTCCCTGTTTCCTCCCAACACCCAATGGTTATCAAATGCACCTGCTTCATAGTATTCCCATTTCATGTACATTCCTTATCTTCATAACTGATGCATTATTGTTTGAATTCAAGAACTCTGATTTGGTTTTATTTTTACTATTGTCTCTTTAAACCTTTCTCAATTAAATGCTTGATGAGTGAATAGATGATCAACTGAATAAATGCACATAGACATGAATGTCTAGACATAATATAACTCAAATGGGTGTGCAACATTGCTGAAGGGGAAAAAAATCACTTTCAAGAGAGTTGTTTGGTCTTTCTAAATAATAACTTTCTAAATATTAAGTAGGCAGAGAACGCTGAACTTTAAATTTGATCCTGAAACTCAACTCACATCTTCTTACTCATACTTCCCTATCAAGATTCATGGAAATTTTTGTAAAGATAATAAACTAATGTACTAATTTTTCTCTAGTTTACAGCTTCTAATCCAGCTGAAGCCAGAGATTGGGTAGATCAAATAAGTTTCTTGCTAAAGGGTAAGTGTTATTATTAAAAGAATAGTTCTTAAATGGATATATAGTTGAAGTCATATTGCATAAATGTAATTTACATATTTCTCCCTTCCTACTTCTGTATCTCCCATATTATAGCATTGAATAGCATCATGTATGAATCAGAAGGTAAAGAAATTACCACCCTGCAGATGACATCTGATACCATTCTAGCTCATCCACCTACTTACAAGAAAGACTGTAATATTTGTAATCACTAGGGAATTATGAACACCAGCTTAGCCTGTCTCAGTGTTCCCTATCCCCTTATATTGTGGAAAGAAAAATTCATGATTTCCTACAGTGTGGCTCTGTAGGACCAACAAACCACAAGGTCGGCAGTTCAAACCCACCATCTGCTCCTCAGGAACCCTATATAGGGTCGCCATGAGTTGGAACCAACTCAAGGCACTTAACAACAACAATTGTACTTTAGGCCCAAAATCATCTTGTTTTAGAGGAAGGTATGGAAAAATATAAACTAATTTTGGTGGCCTTCAAGGACATTGCATATTAAAAGCAAATTGCTATTTCCCAACCCATAAGAAAATGCTCCTTACTTTGAGGTGGGAAGAGTCCGGCCCAGCAGTCAAATGACTGCTCTTAAGAGTACCCTCTGCTGGTCAGTCTGCAAGCACAACAGTGACAGTGACCAAAGAAGCATTGTCTGGGAGTGGCCTGGCAGGAAGAAGTAGCCAATCTTGAGTCTGTCACTCATATGCCATTGTGGCAGAACCCTGCCTCCTAAGACCTAGAGAGAAGGTTTCATCCTAAAAACACCAAGTCTCTTCATCTCAGTTTTCTATTTTGCTAAAAGATTTTATCGTAGATAAAAAGAAGGAAGCACCAGAGCTTTAATTACAAGAATTGCCTATTTTACTCAGTTATGTTTTTGCTACCGCAAAAACAAACTATTGCATCTACCAAGAGCATCACGTATAATGGACTGGAACTAGGCAAACATGAACATTGATGGCAAGACTACAGGGTACACTCTCATCTAGGTGCCTTGGATTTATGCGTGTAATATACCCCTAAGTGTGCAAACCTCAATAAAACTCAAAGCAGCTTTATTGAGCTGTACCCTGTGGTACTTTCAGAATCCCACATTGAAGAAATTATTCATTCCATTTTATTTTTAAACAAAAAATAATAATAACATATGGTTTAGGCCACAAATGTATCTTTGATCCTTTCCTCATATGCAATGGCACCAAAATGCAGATGAAAATTTTTGCAGAATCTTTATTAAAAGCCTAATCAAGCCAAACAATTTTATTGTCGTTTGAAATGAGTGTTGGATGTCTCTCCATCCTTTCCTTCCCCAGAGTCCTCTGACTGCATTCGCCCATCCTGCAGAGGCTCCTCAGCAGAGTTTCAGAGAGCACTCTGTACTGCACGGCAGAGAACGAACCTTCCCAGTTCCCCATTAAAATAAAAAACCAATCTCCCTCCCTTTCCTGGTGCTCCTCAGTGCTGTAATGGCTCAACAGCCTCTGTGCAGTGACCCACTTTAAGGTCAGCCAGACTATATAGTTGCAAAAGGACACTGTAACTACCTCACTCGGTCATTCGATTTGTTCTATTTTTCCATACCCCACTTTCATTTCCTCTTCCACTTTTGTCCATTTTTCTCTTTACGAACAAACTTGTACGAAACTCTAAAGTGAGATCACTGAGGAGATGGGCTACTGGCAGCTCAGACACCCTTCCAAAGTCCCCATGCTCCCACACCTCTGCGCCCTGGAGAACAGCAAACCATCACTCACTCTTGAAGTTTTCTACTTGACGAACAGTGCATGGCACGTTGGCATTTCCTTTACTGGCTTCTTTTCTCCCCTTCACCTCTCATTCTCATTCACACACCCATACTTTTCAGGGCTGCTTCATCCTGATCAAGTTTTATTGCAAGAAAGGATTTATGTTGATGGTCTAAGCCTGACACAGTGCTAGTCTGGCCTTTTCTGTAGATTTCCTGCCACCAAGCCCTGCATTCAAAATAATAGCACTTAACCTAGTGTTTCTGTTTCTTTGGACATATTTTGTTCTCATCCCTCCTCCCCCTTTTCCCTCTTCCCTTCCCTGCCTTATTCTTTTCTCTCTCTCTATTTTGATTCATTCTCGTCTTTGCCCTGGCAGATCTGAGCTCCCTAACCATTCCATATGAAGATGAGGAGGAGGAGCAGGAGGAAGAAGAGACATATGATGATATTGATGGGTTTGATGCCTCAAGTCCTGGTTCCCAATGCAGACCCATTATCTTATCTGGGAGTATGGGGACTAAAGAGTCTGTAGAGGAGAAATTGGAAGAAGATATTTATGAAGTCTTACCAGGTGAGAAACTTCATCTTCTAATTGTCTTCTGCTAATTTCAGAAACTCTTGACCTGTAGAAGAATATACCTTTGAAAACTGCATAGGAAGCCAAATCTAACCCTCACCTTCTGAAGGAGAGAATGAATGTAGAAAAGCTTTAGAGGAACCTTCATGATTCCCAGCACAGCAGCTCTCCCTTAATCAGTGGATGTCTTTCATCTGTACCATGTAGAGTAACATGTAGACAGGGTTAAAGAGTCATGTTGGTTTTCATGGGTTTACTGTGAATTTGGGATGAGTCATCCAAACTCTCTAGTTTCAACTTTTTGTCTGTGTCATCATAAGAATAATGGAAAGTTGCCTCAAAATTATGAAGGATATCAAAAGTCTGTAGGAATATACATAAAATGCTGACATAGTTCAATAAAACCCCGGACCAAGCACAACTTATTATTACCTTGCTCAGATACACACGAACCAAATCATACCTCCTAAAAAGGAGCCTAATATGTTCTCTCTGTCCACCACAACAGCAAGTCTTTAGAATATATATTTTTGTTTTTTTTCTAGAGGAATAACTGGTATCTTAAAAATGTACAGTCATCATTGCTTCCACAAGGCCACTCTTTGTGGGGATCACAGCAGCTGGTGAACAGTGCAAAAGCACAGTGGGGGTCAGACTGTGAAAATCCAAAGCCTGAGCCTTTTAATTGTGAGGTAGTTAGACCACAGGAACGCTGAATCTTCAAGTCCATTCAGAAAGATCGTTCCTGTGGAAATTTGCCAGGAGTTCAGTGCTCTGCTGAGAAATTCAAGTTAAGCCTAAATTTATAGCAATTTAAGCCTCAATCCCAGGTGAACTTAGGAACTAAGGTGAATCCAACATTCAAGTCTCTGAAGACAGGGCTGGTTGCTAAAAAGCATTGTCAGGAAGCAACTGCCATTTCAAGACCTCCTAAGGAGAGGATCTAGCCCTCTCAGAGGTGCACTTAAGCCTCTTCCCTGAGGGAGAAGCCACATCACTGCTTCCTGAGTTGAGGAGCAGGGCTCCTTCCGGTGTCCACACATCTCCTCCCTGGGGCCTCCAGCCACCACTCACCCAACAACCTAGGATAGCCTTCTTCTCCTAGCACTTCCCAGCATCTGCCAGTCCTGACTTCCCCAGCCTTTTTGTTGTGTTTTATTATGCAAATTATATCTTGGTTGAGGTCGAGCCATTTCTTGTGTCTGAAGTTAAAAAAAAAAAAAATGATAATTTCCTCAGCAAGTCATCGTCGTTAATGAAGTTTTACAAAAACAGATACAACCAAAGGAAAATAAAATTTCACAGGTGATAAATTTTTCCAATTTCCCTGGCAGAATTCGATAGGATTGTTAAATTAAGAGTGAAGGTGTCTGTTAGAAAGCAACGAGCAGTGATGGGTAATTTTATAGAGTGGAAAATTGAATCAAATTGCTACATTAAAACACAGCTCCTCTGAGAATCTTCCCTTTCACAGTCTGCTCCATTGCAACAGCAGGGTGCAGAAATGGATCTAATTCACAACACTCTCTAAAAGGAGATGCACTCCCCAACTTGGCCAGAATCTTCCTAGCAAGCTCTCATCCACTCCCTCCTGCCCAGGCTCAGGGAAGCATTTGGGTGACAATCCACTTTGGGTTACAGCTGTGGAAGAATGCTCTGGGGAAACCTCACTGAACGTGTTTATCTTACACCACCACACCAGGTCTCCAGAAAACAGAAAAGTTTGGAACTCAATTAGTCATTTAGACCTGGTGTGACACTGGGGGTTAATGAGCTGGACTGCAAAGCTCACCAGCCACTCCTCAGAAACCCTATACAGGGTCGCAATGGGTCAGAACCGACTCGATGACATTTAATAACAATAATAATAAAATAACAGAAATAGCACAAGTGGTGGTGGTGATCATGTGCCGTGGAGTCGGTTCCGACTCATAGCGACCCTGTACAGGGTTTCCGAGGCTGTAAATCTTTATGGGAGCAGAAAGCCTCATCTTT